GTGCCTGTGGTTTACTCTCTTACAATGTGTAGCTGCATGGCTGGGGAATTAGACTGCTTTCAGACTAATCAAAAAGTCAATATACTCCTATTGCCTTTTAAAGGTTAACGTACATTCAAAAAGCAGGGATCAAAGCAGACATCTACAGAGAACCAAGGCCAATTAAGGCCACAGAATCCTCTAGGTTGCTTTTTTGCCTTTCAAAACAGTAGTTCCTTGACAGGTTAAAGATTTTCCTTTTTCCCCTCTTTCCCTCATGGGTTTATTTTTTTTTTCCTCTTCATTTCTTGCCTTTTCTATTCATCCTTTGCTCCATGACCTCTAGTCATTTTTTAATTAAAAAATTACTATAGTTATTTATTGTTTAATAATCATAATTTAATTTCTGTTTCCCTTAAACCTTTACAAAGTCAAATGAATTCTGGGGCAGGTGTTCATGGCAGGATTTCTTTTTGCACACCAAAGGTATACGAGGGTCTCTTGCTTAGCTGATGATGTGAGAAAGATGTTTTGATTATAGAATCATAAGATGGTTTGAGTTACAAGGGTCCTTAAAAGTCATCTATTTCCAGCCCCCTGTCATGAGCAGGTACACCTTCCACTAGACCAGGTTGCTCAAGGCCCTGTGTAACCTGACCTTGGACACTTCCAGGGATGCACAATTGTTGGGTTCACTACAAAATTAGAGCTAGTGTTGATCCTGGACCTGTTCAGTCCAGTTACAGTAATCCTGATCTTCCTCAGACAGGTGCTGGGAAGAATGCATACAGATGGGCAACTTCTGTCTAAGGTCATACCACTGAATTCTCTTCCCATTGAATTCAGGAGAGATGATGACTCCTGAGCTGGAAAGGTCAAAAAGGGGTCAGAAGGAAAGGATAAACAATTACCCAAGAGCAAGCTGGTTCCTCAGTCCTGCTCTGAGGGTCAAGCAACCCCAAAGTGCAGTAGGAAACTTGTGGTACTCTTTCTTCAGTGTTAGAACTAGCTTTCTAATACCTTGTGATACTTAAAAGATCTGTAAGGCATCCTTCTGACTCCTGCCCGACCAGGATGAAAAAAGAGATCAATATTCCTGCAGCATGCACAGGCAGTGTCGCCTGCTTCTTTACCAGAACTGCTGCAGGCTGTCCCTGCCCTCACATCCTCCCTAACAGCCAACTGAGCAATTTCGGGTGATCTTATATCTCCACAAGTTAGCAACATGCTTATAGGAAAAGGGAAATGTCCAAGCCTTTTGGTTGTTGGGATGGTTTCAGATCCAGAGCCTGGATGCTGTCGAGGTTCTCTCAGAATATTTTTTCACACAGGCCTTCATGAATTATTTAGCACAGCTCAGCACCAAATTTCTTTGGCTGCCAGACAAGACAGTATAGTTGACTCCTGGAACTCTTACCAACAAGTAAATATTATCTTTGCTGTTATCAATTGCAATGGACTGTGGAGAACCAATATTCAGCAAATGACAGGTGTAAAATATCCCCAGGGACCACCTATTCTCTCACTCTTCCCTGGCTTTCAGAAGCTGACATGGTGCAGTTTCTCAGGGTACAGGGATCAGGGTGAAGGCAAAGTAACTATTCTGCAAGTGGGCCCAGGTGTGGCTTGCTTTGCCTTACAATCTGTGGGTATGTGTACTTGAGTGTCTAAATTCAAATTAGAAACATGCTTGGGAGAGAAATCTCCCAATGGCCTGTGAGTTCTCCACATCTTGATTTTCATTGTGGAACTGTTTGGGAGACATGGACAGGGTGACATTTGTGTTAAAGTATTCTGAACACATCAGGTGGTCTCGTGGAGAACACCTGATGTGCTCCAACCTTTATGGGCATCCAGCTGGCAACACCTAGTCCAGAGTTCTCCTCAGGACACACATAATGGGCTGCCAGGTCCTTGGCATCAAATATTGTGCTGCCCAGATCAATTTCTCTTGCACCACACCCCTTGCTAATTGACCCTGGCAGCTACTGCAGTACCTAGAAGCTACTCATAAGTACAGAATCCATCTTCCCAAGCGAGATAGAGGCTGTGACAGATGTCACATTTAGGACAGCACATTACATAGATTAATTCCCCTAGATGGAAAAGATCATTCACTTCATCCTCTTAAATGTAATTCATGTGTCTGTAAGTTTAAAAAAAATATAAAGTGACTGGTACCAATATATTCCCTCATTATTCTAATGCACAAATTCAAACATTATAAAGTGACCAAAAACTCTTAAGACAATTAATTTCTTCCCTGTTACTCTCCAAGCACCCTCCATCATTTGCAAACAAACTGAATTCTTGCTTTGTCAGGACACCTGAGAGACGCACATCAGTGTGGGGACTGAGAAGGGACATTCAAAGTCAAGGTTCGACTTAGGCTGTTTCTGCACTAGGTGCCCATTTCCCTTTGAGTGCATCTGGACTTTAGACACCAAACCTTAGAATACTGTACAAAGAAATGAGTCATTAGTGTTATTGACTCTTGCCTTTGCTAGGATCTCACATATTGCAGTTCACATCACTGATTCACAACAGTTTGCATTGCCAGGAAGCTTCAATGACGTGCTTAATTAGGCAAATCCAGGCTGAGTTAATCTAGAAATAGGACCTGTATAAACAGCAGAAATTTAGGTTTGTGATTAATATAGCAAATGTAATTCTGCCATGTAATTTAAATTATGTGTATGTCATATCATAAATCTAAGTGCTTCCGAAGTCTGTAGGCTTCGTGCTAGCATTAATTTTTGTAGAAAGTAAGAAATATTTCTCTTGTGTTTGATTGCTTTTTAAAGTCCAGGTCTGATATACTCTCAAAAGTTTGTCCCAGTCTGCTGTTTTGTGATATTTAATGGAGTTTAAAAATAAAAATTTATGCCTACGTATAATTTGCTTATTTAGGTGAAATGCATTACAAAAGAACATCAGGTATTTCAGACTTTAAAGCTTTTTGTTAAGACAAACTATGACAAAGTTATATTTAACTACTTTGACACTAATTTATGAAAATACATTAAATTTTAAAAATTGAAAATAGAAACTTTTTTAATTTTTCAGTATATAATGCATACAAATGTGCCCTGAAAGATATTCCCGTGAAGCAGACCACCCACATTAATCACTCAAGGAAGAGCTGATTTTCTATTTCATAGAGGTATAAATTTAGAGATCTAAAGCAAAAATTCATACAAAAGTTGTTAAATTCCAAACACTGTGTAATAAAGATTACTAATACTATATTGGTTGTCTGATTCAGAACTTATTCTCATGACCTGGTGCACAGCATAATCAGGACTGAAGTTTGTGCTATCTCAGGTTGATGGGGTGAGGCATTAAATTGTTTTGTGGATATGGTCTCAATAAGGGGCTATGATGCATTTACCCATTGTCAGTATTTTATTTATTTATCAGGCTGGAGTTTAAACTAATTGAAGGTGATGAAGCCAGGAGGTGTCAGGGAGAGGCAGATCATAGAAATATAAAGTCATAGAATTGTTTGGGTTGGAAGGGACCTTTCAAGATCAGAGAAGATAGAATCTTCTGCTAACTCTGGCCAGCAGTGATGATAAGCCAATATTGCTTGAGCTATTTTCAGATTTGAGAATAAAAATGAAGTTTCAGTGACTGTGCTAAGATATCATGGATTCAGGTTTTAAGTTATCAGCTGGATTTTGCTTCTTCAGAACTCAAAAATACAACTGAACTTTCGCACAAGCACAAACTCTCTTCTTTTACATTCTGGCTTTAATGAAGTAACAGGAAAACAAAAAGAAAATGAAGAATTGTGTCTCAGTAAATTAGATAGCTAATTCCTGCCAATAATTGGCAGTCAGAGTCTGGACTCACTACACAGTGCATTCCCAGTAAAGGACCTACTTGGGCAGAGCTTCCACTCGCCCGGTCTGGCAGCTGTGGAGCACCTGTGGAGCCAGCACAACATCTGCTGGGAGTGCAAGCACACACACACACAACCCTCTGCATTTCTGGAAAACACAGTGGCTTGGGAACAAGTGTGTCTGTGTTCTGAAGTGTGGATGCAGCCCACACTCTTTGGTATGTGTCCAGAGAATAGGAAAGCCAGCACATGTAAACAGGGACCGCAGTTGTCTCACTTTCTCTAGCCTTCATATTCACCTGTTTAGTATTGGCTGGTGTCTTCAGGAAGGGTGAGTGAATATTCATAAGTAAAACCTAATAGGTATCAATTCTGATCCTGCAGTGCCTCCAGATGAAGCAGTTCTTGGTAATGGTCAAAAGAAGCAACATAATCACTAGCTTTTTGCTAGGATTGGGTTTTTTCTTTCCTTCTCATGATTTTTAGTTACTACTTCTATCCCTTCTACTTAACATGGAAAAGATAGCAAAATTGTGAAGGAACAAAGCCTTATCTCTTTGAAAAATAAAAATTATTATTCCTGCTCAGCTGATCCAACGAGGTGATTACTCAGATAATACAGTGCCTTCCTGCCATCTTGTGGCACTGCAAGGTTTGCAACTCCCTGTTTGTTGTACTGTATAATTTTTATTTCAAATTAACAGTTTTAAGTTTCAGATGTCATCTAGTTAAACAACACACACACACAAAGAGTGAAATCTTGCTCTAGCTAATTGCAGTGTCAGAAATCCCATTGATTTTAAAAAGTTCCAGACTGTATTAATTGTATTTATTTCAATGTCTTATTATGTCAAAAATGAAAACAAATTGAAACTAATGTAAAACTGGGTTTCAGGTTAATAGATTAGGTTACTGTTATACTGAAATAATCTGCAGTTATGTATGAAATAATACCTTGCATTTCTATTATGAATTGATCTGTATTTTTCATTTGGGATACTTTGTTGGTTTTCAAAATAGCTGCCTCCTTTTTTAAGTCTGCCTGAAGGAAAGGAAAAATGCATCTTTTGTATGACTTCAGAGCCTGCAAGAGCTTGTTCAATGTTTACTTATTTTTCTAAAAAAAAAAGAATGTATGAGATTGTGGTACTGTCCAATTTTCTGCTCCTACTTTTAGGCTGGAATCACCAACTCGATCTCTGAGCATGGATGCACCACGAGGAATTAATATTAAAGCACAAGCTGGGAATATTGAAGCGCTTTCCCAGATGGATATCAAACTACACAGCAGTGATGGCGTGGTGAGTACAAGCCCTTCTTTTCCATAACTGTGGTTGATCTTCTGGGTGACTGTAACTTCAAGTCTTTTTTTCAAGTTCTGTTAATTTAGTTCCTCAGGTTTTAGGTGGCAGGATATTAAAATTAATAGTGCCAATAATAGAACTATTATTTATGCAAATAATACGACCAACAGACATAATGTTGTATTAGCTTAGAGAGATGCTTTCTAATGAAACTTGGATACTGCTTAGCTCCCTCCTAGCGCAGTGATTCCCAGGCACCCCAGCGAGGAACCTTGGCTCAGAAGCAGATGCAGCCCCAGAGTGGCAAAATTAAGGAGTGAAGCTCTGCAGACATCATTAACAGCAGGCAACACGCAGCAGCCTATTTATCCCCTCTGCAAGGCTGTACTGTGCCAGTTCTTCCACGGAGGAACTACGGACCAACCCACGTCCATCCTTAACCAGCTGGCTCCGTGGTGAGGCCTCAGCACTCAGGCCAGGACAGACCTGGATCCAGCAGCAGTGCTTGTGTCCCGCTCTTCTGTGCACAGGCAGGGACCCTGTCACTTACCTTAGAATCATAGAGTGAATTGTGCTGGAAGGGACCTTAAACATCATCCAGGTCCAATTTCCCCTGCCATGGCCAGGGACACCTTCAAATAGACCAGGCTGCTCAGAGCTCAATCCAATCTGGCCTTGAACACTTCCAGGCATGGGTCATCGACAAGTTCTCTGGGCAACCTGTTCTGTGCCTCACCACTGGAAGAAGTTCTTTTTTATATCTAATCTAAATCTATCTTCTTTTAGTTTAAAACCAGTATGCCTCATAAAGGGTCCCTCCCCAGCTTTCTTGTAGGCTCTCTTTAAGTACTGGAAGGCTGCAATGAGGTCTCCCCAGAGCCTTCTCTTCTCCATGCTGAAAAACTCCAGTTCTCTCAGCCTTTCCTCACAGGAGAGGTGCTCCATCCCTCTGAGCATCTTCGTGTCCTTCCTCTTAACTAACTTCAAGAGATCCATGTCTTTCTTATTTTGGGGGCCCCAGAGCTAATGCAGCACTGCAGGTGAGCTCTCACCAGAACAGAGCAGAGGAGCAGAATTCCCTCCCTTGCCCCTGCCCATGCTACTCCTGTTGTAGCCCAGGATGTGATTGATTTTCTGAGCTGCAAGCACACATTGCTGGCTCATACATAGGTTTTCATTTGTCAATACCCCTACATCTTTCTTCTAAGGGCTTCTCTCAATCCATTCATCACCCTGCTTGTTTCCATTTTGGGGATTGCCCCAACACAGGTGCAGGACATTGCACTTGGCCTTGTTGAACTTCACGAGTTCTCTGCTAAGGAGAGGATAGGCACCAACTTATTCCTGTCCTTTGTTTATGTCTGCCAAGAGCCTAGGGCTCAGAGAAACTTTGTATATAACAAGTCCAGTGTAAAAGGCCGTTCTTAGGCCTCTGCCTAGCCAAATTCACCTTGTCTCATGGCACATGATTGCTTTACCATGTCTAATAACCTTGTTTCTCCTGCTTTTTCCCACACAGCTTTTGCTGGATGCTGAAACCGTGCGACTGCCCAAGCTGCCTGAGGGTACAAGGGGTGGATCTGGGATTTCTCAGGGGCTCTATGAAATCTGTGTGTGTCCAGATGGAAAGCTCTACTTGTCAGTGGCTGGTGTGGGCTCCACTTGCCAGGAATACAGCCGAGTCTGCCAGTGAGGCACCCAAAAGGCCACACACCCCCTTGGGCATCTGGGTTTTGTATTACTCCTAAAGAGCATTACTGAAAGCATATTTTTCAGCATTTTAGAAACAAAGTACTTACAATTTAGGAAACAAATCTGCATCTACAGTTCTGGAATACAGGGTGTAAGGGGAAGAAGAGCACAAATGCCATTTCCACTTCAGAAGAACGACTTGAAGCAAATTACATGTTTTGTCAGTAACACTTGGAAAACAGCCTTACAGAGAGTATAAAAAATAAAACAAATATGTTTCCTTGCTGAACTGTTATTCAGTCAGATAATTATGTCATTGTTCGTATTTTTGAGATCCATGGGTTTTTCCTCTCACTACATGTAAACACTTACTGTATTAGTGGGTGAAATGAAATAGAGGGAACTACTTGAATTATTTGTAAGACAAAGCATTATTTGGAAAATTCAGAAAGTGCCAGCAAATGGTCTATGCAATTTTGTTCTTGCAATAACACAAGATGTGGTATTTGTGTGAGTTCTTGTTAATTTGTTGATAGCTTTCTGTTTTAATTTGGCAACACATATGCTGATTTGCTTCTTACTGAGATTCGTATAAAAATAACTAATGCAAAAAGCTCCAGAAGTCATGAAGGCCTCTCTGTGTCTCAGATCCATTCACTATAAAACAGAGAAGTATGTTAGTATATTTTATAATAACATTGTTTGTTCTACTGCCTGTACCATCATATTCAATCAAATCCTTTTTTATTTTAGGGCATGCTAATTCAACAAGGCAATCTGTTGGGCCAGCTGGACTAGTAAACAAAAAAAATGTGTCTTCAGATTGTGTGGCACAAGAAACTCTTTGGGCAGTGGGAAAAAAAACCTTTTATGCAGCCCACAAATCTCAACCAAGAGGAATATTTCATTCCCATCTGCACCTGTTTACTGGTATTTCTGATCCTGTCAGAGTGGGACTCCATCACAAACAGAGAGAGTAAAACTGTTACTATTTTTTACATTAGGATTTTGGATAAAAAATAAATGCTCACCAGAGCTGACAAACCATTTATTGGCCTTGTAAAGAAACACAACTGCAGACCCATTCCCCTGTACAGTGTTGCACTGAACACAAATAAATTGTTTGCACACCTCTGGGTAGCAAGATTTGTATTTTATAGTCTGTTGTTTAAACCTCATGGGTTTTTCATTCCTTTGATGCTGTTTTGTATATACTTTATGATCTTATTATCCAGGAAGGAGCTATCACATAGTGCCTTGGTGTCTATTTACAGAAGGATTTTAACCCATAGTGTTAGTAAACCACGAATGTCCACATTTTGGAAAAGAAAATAATCACCATCCTTAAAACAAAAGAATCAGGACAAAATAACTACTAACAAACTTGCTACTTCAGCTCTGGTGAACAAGGGAAGAAATCCAGCACTTGGATGAGACCCCCAGGTCTACACACAAAAGCCTGAACTGAGAGAGTCCTACGTAAATATCTTCCTCTATTATTGTCATAAAGCCCAGGGCAGTTCTCGCTTCAAGGTCTGCCTTTGCAATTTCTCCAAGTGTCTGATGTACAGAACTGAAACTGCCCTTCAGCAGCAGGGTGGAGCCCTCAGCAATTAATGCAAACTCCAAGAACTTCAGTAGAGCAAGTAGGAAACACTTAAGGTGAGCTTAGGCGAGTGAAGCAAGGGTTCACATGTTATCTGGAGAGTGCTCCAACTGCTCTTACACTGCCTAAAGGAGAAGTAGGAAGCCACACATCTTCCATGTCTGAAATTGCCTTTTCTTGGACTTAGACTCATTCACTTAGTCCTGTCTTCAGGAGTGAGTCCAAGGCTGTTTGCCGTAAGGAAAGAAGTGTTAATCTCCACAACTGTGTCTCTTGACTATATCTGTTTTTAAGGCTAAGCCCTCAGCTGAGGTACACTTTAACAGAAACCTGTCTTCAGTGTTCCTTTAAAGTCAATTTAGATGGTTCCAGCTCCATGCACAAGCTTTTACAAACCAAAACACAAGCAGACTTCATTGGATAGAAAGTTTGAGTACTAAAATAAAGGTCAGCAAAGGTCAGTTGCATGTGCCGGATACCTAAAAGCTGCTGCTACGAGTAAGTTGGAGAACCGTAATGTCACCGGTCTCTTACAGGTGTAGTATTAACAGCAAAACTGGGACTTGAGTCCTTAGAAATTTCAGCCATTGGTCTGACATCAAGGAACATATGCCCGTTTCCATGGAGTATCAAACAAATAATTCACTAATCTAACACCTAAATGTTAGGCAGATACTGCAAAATAGTTAAAATCTCCTTGTTCTACTGGCAGTAGAAGCACAGAACTTCAAGTTATACATTTTAAGCTTTTGTTATGGAGGCACATTTTCAAATGTGATTTGCCAATTAATTCACAGCAAGGGACTGAACTGAGGCTTTCCAGGCAAGAATAACCTGACCCCTAAAGAGCTAGGAAAATCAGGGTGCAGTCCCCTGGCTGGTAACACTATTAAGCAGGATGGCACTTCATTTAGACACTGCAATAACTACAACCTTTCATGTGGAGATAAATCTTCTGGACTTGCTTCATTTCACAGGTGGAGTCTAAGTAGTACCAAAACCTAAAGAGGTCTGCTGTACCCTTAGCCCTGCCATCACACAAATCACCAACGTGATCTTTTTCATTGCTTAAATTTGATTCTTCTTTTTATTATGCTAAAACACTGACATCAGAAGTATTGTTCCAGTATAGAAGTTGTGCACATAAAGCATGGCTGGCAACATCTTGTCACAGACTATTTTTTTTCTTTTAGGTGTGGTTAGTAGAGAAACAAAATTTATGCTAACATTACCAGAGTATTATCAGCTGATGCTACAATCTGAATTGCTGTTAATCTCAACATAGGTCATACATCACTATTTCTGATAATTCTATGCGGATGTCTATTTCCCCCTCTTTAATACTTCAAAATTACTGTTTCTACTTGAATTAAACTACAGTAATTAGTTAGAGTAACAGAAAATTATGGCACAGGGAAGTGAGAGTATGCAGTTCTCTAGTTTATTTCCAAAAGCATTATCCAAATGCAGAAGAGAAAAAAATCACTTCTAGCATAGTGAACTGATTTGTTTGCATATGTACTCCCTCAAAAAGAATTATTTACAGCTGTTCTTGCAACTGGTTGCAATTGTTACATAGTGGAAAAATGATAGAAAAACTTCACTGGTGATTGCGTAAACACGAGCTTTTTTTTTTTCCATTTCACAGTCCTTTAGTATTTGCAGTTGTCTATCTTTATATAGCTTTATGCAAAAGGAAATTGCAAGAATTGGAAACCAAGTTCTTGAATAAACTTTATACATTTTGAACAATCTGCTTCTGCTTTTGTATTCAAATGAAACATAGCTTAAATGAATGTTTTCATTTTTAAAACAAAATTGTTTTTACAAGACTAAGAATGTGAAATGCACTTTATTTAAAAATATGAACACAATTCTTAGTCCCAGCTAAAAATGTACTTAGCAGAATTTAGGAAATGCTTTACAATTAGATTTCATTGGACATCTAGAATTCATTTGTCTTAATCAGTAGTGGTTGAAAGTAAACAAAGAAATTACTGCAGTGCTACTGAATTAATCGTCCAGAAAACACATCAAAGAAAAGATAAACAGTTTTGATGAAAATTCATTGACAAAACTCTTCATGTGACAAAAAAAAAAGTGTGTCTTCTTCAAATGAAAACATTTATTTTGGCTGCCAGGTTTAGTTATTTTTGAGCTATTAGTTCTTCCTTTGTTCCCCAGGACCAATCCAGCCTTTCTCAAAGAGTTTAGATCCAGCAACAGAAAATCTCAAAGGTGGTACTACATTCCTCTACTTCAACTGGAGAAATTACAATAGATTTAATTATAGTCTTGTTGAAAGCAACCCAAGTATACTAGTTCCAAGTGAATGCAATCCTTATAGTAAATTTTAAACCCTACTTCACAAATTAATAAAGTAACTTTACTGATAATGATTCGAGTACAAATATTGTAAAACTACATTTTTTACATAATAAAACATTTATTCTTCAGGCAGTCAGCTACACAAAAATCTGTGTCCATAACAAAAAACAACAAGAAAAACAGAACAAAACCACAAACAAACGAGGTATTTTTTCTTGTCACTAATTGTTGAGGCAAGTGTCCTGTGCTTTTTAGAATAGCTGTGTAACACTTCATTGTTTGAGAGGAAAGCTTTTAAACTGTTCTAAGCCTCCATACCTGACTTAGACAGATTGTCAAGTCTCCCAGCTGAGCCAAAAGGAAGAATCAATTAAGGATTTTATTTATTTGTTTTTCTTTTTAATCAGGAATTAAATGGCACTTACAGAATCATGTTCCATCAAAATATGGTTTCCTGGTCTCACAAAGCCTCTTTATTTATGTTAGCTGTTACAGTGAGTTAAGCAAATAAGAAACTAAAAGACTTCCTACTGAGACAACTCACTTGCTTGTCCCTTTGCAGACATCTGTAACATTTTATTGTTAGTTTCAATTCAGGAATAAGAGAATTAATTCATTTTTCTGTGTCATTCCAGTTTTCTTTCTCAACTTGGCTCAGAGTTTAAAATTATTTCAGACTATTAGCTTCCTAAGAACTAGGACCATTTTCTTTCTCAGTGTCAGCACTCAACAGAATATACAAACTAACCAAAATTATAGTTAGAATATTTTAGTGATTCTGCACAGACATGTTAACAGTTTGTAATACTAATACTGGTAAGGCAACATAAGTTGCTTATAAAACACAGTTATACCCTTACAGGATTTTCTTCCTCAAGAGCTCACGTAAAAACAGGGGTGTTCATGGTGCTCCTGTCACTCTTTTGCATGCTTCCATGAGACCTTATGCTTTAGCTCCATTTAAAATGAAAAGCATGAGAACTGTTTCCTTTTCAAGTATTTTAGTCTTCAGTCTTACCCTGAAGACTATTCATCTGACTTAATGCACAAAGCAAGAACCACAAAGGAATCTATTTAAAAAACACAGGGAATTAACTAAACTGATTTATTTCATGGCACACCAGGATTTGTGTTTTACTCACATACTATTTATTGCAAAAAAAACCCCCAGCAAATGTACAATTTGCTTGAGAAAACTGCAAACATTTGTCATTGGAAAAAAAAAGGCAAGTTTCCTTTTCAATAGTATTTCAATATTTGTACAATTATTTAGAATTAATCCAAAAAAGATTGTGTATTTACCTATATAAAAGCTTCAAATAATAGGTAAAGTTAGCTTACATTATAAAATCAAAACACATCGGACTGAAATACATGTTTGCATTTTTCTTTATTAAATTTATGGCACTTAATTTAATAGCAGAAATAATAATAATAGGGCTCCACAATCAGAAGCAGTATTGTTTTCCAACTGTCACATTTCTTCGAGAACAATGCCTTTATAATTTACTCAAAACTGAGGCAGACCTTATTGTGATTTTTTGTTTTTGTATTACAACACTATC